TCTACTAAAAATAGAAATTCATTGGCCAACTAAAAATACATAGAAAAAATTAGCCAGGCATGGTGGTGCATGCCTGTAGTCCCAGCTACTCGGGAGGCTGAGGCAGAAGGATTGCTTGAGCCCAGGAGTTTGAGGTTGCTATGAACTAGGCTGATGCCACAGCACTCTAGCCCAGGCAAGAGAGTGAGACTCTGTCTCAAAAAGAAAGAAAGAAAAAAGAAAAGAAAAGAACCCCCATAATAGGGGACTTGGAGTTAGATAGGGGAGCCAGAGAGAGAGAGAGGGAGAGAGAGAGAGAGCCCTTTACTCTCTAAACAATTCGTCTCTAGGAAGGAGAGTGAAAAGTCCCTAGGTTTTTACAACCCTAGAATATAAGCAAATGACTCTAGAGGAGAGGGGAAAGGTGTTTTTATTACCTTTAGAATGTGAGCAAAGGGCTTCAGGGAAGCTGTTTCTGAATCTCTGTTGAGAGCAATTTGTTATTCAGTCATAAAGCCCATACTATGTAGAAAAGTGAAGATATCTGTGGAGAATTATCTTGGAAAAAGAGAGAGGTGGACTCTAGTAGTACAGTACTATCACAGTAATACCTACTGTAATTGCCTATATATTCATCTATAGCTCCTTCTAATGTTGATGTCTTGTTTGTCATTGAATCCCTAGCACTCAACACCTAATGTCACCAAACTGAACTAGGTCCCTTTGCCTATGTGCAACAGAAAACCAAACACGAAGTACTAGATTTTTGAGTGAGAAAGGTTTATTGCCAGGCACCCCAGCAAGGAGATAGAAGTCAGGCTCAAATCTGGCTCCAGAGCTGGTGGGCTGGGCAGGTTTTATATGTAGAACAATAAATATGAGGCGTGATCTGATTGGATCTTGCAATGGGCTGATACTAGGAGGAGTGATCTGACTGGATCATGCCATCGATTACACCAAGGCTTGATCTGATTGGATTCTGGATTCTGCCATGAGGTGTCATTTCTTAATTCAGCCCCCATTGGGTCTGAGCACTTAGGTTCTACACGTGGTTGGATGCTCAGTTCATCCAGGCGTGCTCAGGTTACAGTCATGGCAACTGAAAAACTCACAACTTTGTTACATAAAAGTAGAACCGTATTGGTCTGATGTAGTAACACTGACACAGTGACTGACAAATAGTAGGAAATCAATATTTTCTGATAAACTAAAATATGTGTAAGTGGAATTATACCCAATGAAATTTCTTTTTTGTGTGATAAGTCTTCATTCTTTAGTTCTCTACTAAAGCGTTTCTCAAATTGGAGCTCTTGAAAGTCCAAGAGTATATATCCACAGGCACCAGTTTGAGGAAGCCTGACTGTACGCACTGAAATCATGTGCCTCTATTTGGTTATAAGGTGATTGTCCACAGAGGGGCAGTAAAGTGTAATGGTTTAAAATTCAGATCTTGGCTGTAATCCCACTGCCTGTTTTTTTTTTCTTAGAATATCATAAAAATGACACAATTTTTAAATTTTATAAAAAAGTTGTGGGTTCCCAGAAGAATTTGAAAAATTGGACAAACTTTATTATCCAGTTAATAATTGACACAAAAGCTCTGGCTTGCCTATAACTATCCTATATTGTAGATAGGAAAGTGGAATTTTGCCACGCAGGATATATTTTTTAATATAGCCATTCTTATCAGTCTTTCATGGCTTCTGAATTTTGTATCATATTTAAAAAGATTTTTCTTATTATGAAATAATTATGAATTTCCCATATTTTCTTCTAGCATTTTTATTATTTTATTGTTCAGATTTAATTTTTTGATCCATCTGGAATTTATTTTGGTATAGGTAGAATTTATTTTGGTACTTGTTCCAATTTTATTTTTCTTCCAGATGGTTACCTAGTTGTTCCAACACCAATCACTGAATTCATCATTTCTGCACTGCTTTGAAATGCTATCTTCATCACATTCAGAATTTTTGTATAATATGACAGACTAATCTTTTCTTTTTTGTCCTGATTTGAGTGGAAAGGTTTTCATGTGCACTTTTTAATGACCTCCGTGTTTGTTGTTGTTGTTTTAAAATATGTTTAAAGTTGTATGTAGCCATCAATATATCTAAACAAGATTTTTATCCTCACTTCATGAATTTGTCATTACCCAGCTCATTTCAGTTTCTTTAAGTGTACTGCACACAACCTTCAAATATTATGAACATTTCTGTCTCCCAGCTGTCACTACACCAAACTACATATGTTAAATTTCCCTAAATCATCTTGCTGTGCTCTTTGCAGCTCCTCTGTACACTGTTGATGTCTTCATCGAGCAACTTGCTCAAAAGTTATTGTAATTATTTTAGGTGAGGCCTCAGAGTGAAAGCCTGTCATCACTATCCAGTTCCTCCCCAAAATGGGCATTAATTTCCATTTAACAAGAAGGACAGACTATGTTTCTGGAAAACAACAGATTTTGAAGCACAATGGCAGTTATTTGTCTGCTCTTTAAACAATCCACCTTGGGGGGAGTCCTACAAAATGCCAACTGCTATTGTGGGAATGTTTTGCTATTTATTCCAGCAAAATGATTCAGACAGAAGAAAAAGGGTCGCTCTGTACTAGGTCTTGAACCCAAAGAACTGTTTGCACAGATATTCATCCAAGATCCATCACAGCCTCCACCTCAACAGATGCTCTTTCAAATGTTTCATGACTCTCCTCAACAGTCTCCATTTCAGGGGAGGAGGATGAGGCTGCCAGAGATGGCTCTGCTGGCACGAAGGCTGGCCTGAAACTTCTATTTAAAAGCTGAACCAAAATATGTTTGGCTTCTGTGGTCTATTTTAAACTTCAAGCTAAGACAAAGAAAAATTACTTTCTATCCTGAATGGGTCTTGGTTGTCTCAATTACAGACAAGAGAGCGGCAAACGGTAAGAGAGGCACAGAGAAGAGAGGGAAATTAGCAGCACTGAGGTAGTAGGGACAGTTCATGAAGCGAGGTATGAAAAACTGGAAAGGAAAAGCCTTGGGCTAGGGGAAAAGGACCCCCTCATTGACTCCTAACCGGAAGCTCCTGATCATGACGAGCATCTGCAGGTCACTTCTCGCCCACGTCAGCCACCTGCTCTCAGCACCCCTCCTCCGCCTCAAGGTCTTCCACCCCAGTGGCCCCCGCCGCCTCGGAGTCCTCTCCCTGACTTCAGCACTGGGCTCTGCTGGAGGGAAGCCTGAGACCCCTCCCATGAAGACCCCACTCCTCCACACACTTCCTTCACAGCGCCCTCCCTCACCCCAACGCGCCACCCCGAGGCTCGAGGTCTTTCCTGCCCCTAGGTCCTCGCCCCGCCCCGCCCACCACCATGCCACGCCCCGGGCCATCCCCTCCCCCTGTAGGCCCGCCCTCGCCCCGCCCTCCTCGCCTGGCGCCAAAGGCTGTGGTCAGCCGCTTGCGGGTGGCCAGTCTCTGCGATCTGGGGCTGAGTTAGAATCCTGTCAGCCGCGGACGGGAAAGCCCGGGCGCGAGGCAGAAGGGATTCATCTTGAAAATCTCGGGGAGACTGTGGGTACGAGAGGGGTGGGTGGCAAAAAGGGAAACGTGTTAAGAATCTGAGGGAAAACAGGGTTTCGATGACGTTTTCTCGCCCCTTTTTCTGGTAATCCTTGGTGGTCGTTGCTGGGCCCTGGGCCAGCGCCTTTGCGCGTTCGCTCCCACCCCCGGAAAAGAACCTCAGCGATCTCGAAGGATTTCCAGCCTCTTGGTTCTAAATCAAATCGGCCCTAAGTCTTGGAGAGGCCTCCTTAGCCTCCTCACGAGGGAATCGGGCGTCAGGGAAGTGTCGGGCGGCGGGTGCTGACCTGGGCTCCTGCTGAGTGCGGCGTCGAGGGCGACCTGGCTACGCTCCCCCCACCGTAGGGGACAGCTCCGGTCGCCCTGAACCGCTGTGCCTGGGAGCCCTGCTTTAGACCCCATCAATTGCTACTTGACAAAGATGGGGAAAATCTTTTCATTTTATCACAGGGGAGAAGAAATGGATGGTAGGGTTTTTTGTTCATGGGGACAGTCAGTGTGGAATTTGGGCTGCTCATACATGTAGCTAACATCTGAGGGATCCCACCCAAACTGTCCCTTCTGCCTCCACTCTGCTGTGTGGAGGTGCGAGGTGGTGGGACCAGACCTGCCTCAGCAGTTTGTTCCCTGCCTGCTGCGGTCCAACCCCTGACTTTGATATCAAATGAGGAAATGGAATGGACCAAGAAAATAATTATTTGGACTACATTTTATTGTAAGGAATACAGTCATCCCTTGTGGATTCCTGAGAATTAAAAATTTTAAAAAAGAGGGTGGGAAAAAAAAAAAAAAGAGGGTGGGGAGGGTAAAAAAAAATAAAATTAAATAAAAACTAAAAAAAACAAAAAACAAAACAATCCAAACTTCCACAATGTTAAATCAAAGACTAACTGCCTAACGGCTCTAATATTATAATATTGTGTATCCACCATATTTTTAAATCTTAAAAAAATCATGAAACTAGTAAATACTGTGAAAGTATAGCTAATATTTTATGAAACAAAAAAATACATGTCATAAGAGCGCCCATTCATAATATGAGAAAAATAAAATCGATTTATTGAGGACAGACCAAGCTCAAGGTGCCAGGGAGGATACCAGGAAGAATGACATAACGTCAAGGTTCTTAGAGTGTTGTTGCTAAACGTGTACATGAAAGGTTAACAGCAATATGCAATTCTAAATAACATTCCAAGGCAACAATGTAGACATCATACAGTCATGATTAACTGCGATAGAAACAGAAGATGATAAAAAGTGAGCGGTGTTGAGGAAAGAGAGAAGAAACCTAATAAGCATCCCCCACCCCTCATACACACCCACAAAAGAAATAATGCCACATGCCCAGCGGAAAAAAGATAGGCCAGCCCAGTCTTTCCAAACTAAATGTTTTTCTTATTGCCCTTCTGGTCCTTGATGATTCTACAACTACTTCTTAAACGCTATTTCTTATTTTCCCAGAGTTGATTGTTTTTCTACTGCTTACCTTTCAATATGAAGGAGGATCAAGTTGTGCTGGAAGAACCAGGATTCCAAGATGAAGAGGTATGACTGGAATGTTGAAAGATATGTAGACATTCAGTCATTCCACAAAAATCAAGTTCCTTCTTTGTTAGCTACTATTTTTAGAAACTGAAAGTAGAAATAAGACATAGTTATAGATAACAAATATGTAACAACTTGTTTGGCAAGGGGTGCTAAGATTAGCTGCTTAACAACTGGTATGAAAGTATTTTAACTTAACAACTGGTATGGCCACACACTGGTACCAAATAGCAGCCTGGCCCTAGAAGAACGAGTTCAAGATCTGAAGGGGAAGAAGGTTGAGAAAACATTTAAAATAGGTCAAATGTTCCATTCCTTTGGTTAAAGATTTTAAAAATTTATGAAGAACATGACAAAGGTAATTGGCTTCCCAACCCTTTCAGTGCAGGTGCTTCTTCTAAGTATGCAGCAATGTGTTTGGTTTTTTGTTTGTTTGTTTCTTTGTTTTTTGAGACAGTCTTGCTCTGTCACCTAGGTTAGAGTGCTGTGTTGTCATCCTAGCAAACAACAACCTCAAACTCCTGGGCTCAAGCCATCCTCCTGCCTTAGCCTCCCGAGTAGCTAGAACTGCAGAAGGACGCCACCACACCTGGCTAATTTTTTCTATTTTTAGTAGAGATGGGATCTCACTCTTACTCAGGCTATTCTCCATCTCCTGAGTGCAAGCAATCCTCCCGCCTTAGCCTCCCAGAGTGCTAGGATTACAGGTGTGATCCACTGTGCCTGGCCTTGCAGCAATGTGTTTGAAAAAACATTATTGATCCCACCCCAATTTGTCTAGAGAGGTGGAATTTGAGACATTTGGCAGTGACTCATAGTATTGAATAAATCTCTAAAAAATGTGACATAGTTGGATATGAAGAATCAAAACTTCATTTTCTCTGTTCCATCTCCTTTAGGAATCTTTGTTTCAAGACATTGACCTGTTACAAAAACATGGAATTGTAAGTAGTTTTTCTATGCTCTGTTAAATTATTCAACTCAAGACTCTTTCAACATCAGCCTTATCAACATTTGAAGCTAGGTAATTCTTTGCTGTGAGGGGCTTTCCTATGCTTTGTAGGGTATTTAGCAACATCCCTGGCCTCTACTCACTCTCTACATGCCAGTAACACCCCTCAGCTGTGACAACCAAAAATGTTTCCAGGCATTGTCAAGTGTACCCATGGGTAAAATTGCCCCCTGTTGAGAACAACTGATCCAATTGGGAATGTTTCAGGGTCCCTCTGAATCCATCTCTCATCTGTCGACATCTATAGCCTTTATTAACAGAAAATTTAGTTCTATATGTCAGTTGACTGGAGTAAGTGTTGTTGGCAGAAATCCAGACTGAGTAACAAACTAGATGGATTTCAACAGCAATAAGTTGATAGTAAACTCCACTGGCATTATCTTTTATAGCCCTCACTTTTAATCTCTTTCAGTTGGTTTTAGAAAATAGAAGCAAGAGAAAATCCTGGTCCTTCGGTGATGTAGTTATTTGCATTCTCCAGGGGCAAATGAAAACAAAATCTTAAAAAATTTTAAAAGAACATATTGGTGATGAAGTTTTGTAGAAAGAAGGAGCTGAACTGAGGGGGTGAATGTGTGATATATTTGTTAGCTTTTCCACCAACAGACTTTTCTTTTGAATTCCTTGTTACATTGCCATGGTCTCACTAACATTCTGGGGAAATCAGGGCACAGTCAGAACATTTGGCAGCCTGCTGAGTATGTTCTACTCAGATATTTCCAGAACATTTGGCTACATGGTGGGTGGGTTCCACCTGGCTGCTTGTATAAAATTGGCATCATGGTGGAAGGAGATGGACACAAAAGCACATGACATAGTATGGGAGCCTTTCAAGCTGGCATTTTCTCAATCTGCTGTGCCCATTCTTTTATTCACAGAATGTGGCTGACATTAAGAAGCTGAAATCAGTAGGAATCTGTACCATCAAAGGGATACAAATGACAACAAGAAGAGCCCTGTGCAATGTCAAAGGACTCTCAGAAGCCAAAGTGGACAAGATTAAAGAAGCAGCCAACAAACTTATTGTAAGCAAAATCCATTCTTTGCTGTTTTAGCTTAGAAGGGCCTTGTGAATCTCTGTAGCCTTTCTCATTATGAACACTAGAAACAATTGTGGGCACTCTGAGTTCCTGTGGATCACAATATACTATACTCTGCTTGTTAACCTTTTACCACTTCAGTTTCAAAGCAACAGCAATTGATTTCTGAAGGACTGAGGTAAGGATTAAGAGACCTAGAACACTAATGAAGGTAATTATTTTTACCCAGACTTTTCAGTTTCCCTTTATATTACTTTTTCCAGCTTTCTGTTTCTGTGTCTTCCCTCCTCCTTTTCATTTTTGTTTTTTACCTTCCTCCTTATTTTTGTCTCATCTCCTCAAATATATCTAGGGCTCTTGTAAAGCACTTGGTGCCAAAGAAGTTACTTTCTCCTATTATAGGCCAATTAATAAGAGAGCATTGGGTTAGCAAAAGACAAATAGTGGTTGGGTCTACATATGTACAGTTGAGATAGATATGACCAAGAATATGCTCACTGAGGCAGCTGAGCTAAATTAACCTCTACCTTCTAGCTGGTCCGGCAGACTGTGAGGGGGCCATGCAGCTGCCAGGCTGCCAGGCAAATGCATATAGGCCTTTGACCAAAGCTTTTGTGTAGAACTTTTGAAGACCATTAGAGGTACCAGCTCTGCAAATAGGAATGTACTAGGTCTCCCTCTTCACAGAAGAACAGTACTCTCCATTTCTCCTTTTTATGTGAGGGTCACGTTCCCAGCAAGTCTGAGAAGCTTTCTTCATGGACAGCCATTTGTTTTCTTTCTGCAGAGGCAGTGACGACAGGAGAGTGATGCAAGTAGCAATATGATCCTGAACTGAACTTGGAGAGGACCCAAATGAACTACTCAGCTCAATTGCTGTAGCTTCTGGGTGCACTCAGGTGGTGTACCCACAGGTCAATTCCACGACTGCCGGAGTGTCTAAGGAAGCCCTAGAGCAGTCCCAGGATTGGGGAAACTGCTAGACATTAATTAGACTTCTTTTCTTTGGAAACCAAATCTCATTACCAAAGAAAAGAATCCCTCTCCTTCCGCAGTACCCACTACTGTACCCAGAGTCTTCTCCTTTCTTAACCAAAGCTGTTCATTTTTATTTTTATTTTTTTAGAGAAGGGATCTGGCTATGTTGCCCCAGGATGGTCTCAGACTTCTGATCTGAAACAATCCTCCCACCTCAACCTCCCAAATTGCTGGGATTACAGGTGTGAGGCCACTGCACCAGGCTGTTTATTCTTAATGAGAGAGAAAGAGATTGAGACAGAGACAGAAAGAGGAGAGAGGGAAAGAGAAGGAGAGAAAGAAAGAAAGTTAATTTCATAGTACAATGGTTCTAAACATTGATATGTATCAGAATCACCTGGAGCAGCTAATAAAAAGCACACAGGCCAGGCTCATTGAAGTAGGATAGAGCCTGAGCTTGCCTACCCACTTCCCCAAATTCTCCAAAGTTTGAGAACCACTGTCATAGTTAAAACAACAAAGAGGGAAACACATTAGATGACATTAGGGCCATTTTCCCAGTACTAATGCAGTTCTTCTGCTGCATTAGCTGTACCTCTTTAATCAGCAAATATGTAGTATATCTACCATGTGAAAAATATTGTTTCATGAATAATGAAAATGGAATTTCTGTGCTCTTTAAACTTCTAGAGCTGAAAAAAATGATGCTATTGATGAAATCAACTGAATTATTCAGTAAAATAACCCTTCTGATTTGTGCCATAAATATATTTCATTTAATCTTCACAGCTACCCTATGAAAGAGACACTATTATCCATGTTTGACCCCAAAGAGGAAGTTGAAGTACGGCAAGATTAAGTAGTTTACCCTATGTCTTACAATTAAGTATTAGAGACATAATTTGAATCTATAAAGGGTAGCTCCAAAGTCTGTGTTCTTAACCATGATCTTGTACTGCCTTGAAAGACAAATGAACCATAGTTTATATGAAATGATGACCTTGATAATCAAGTACATAGTTTTTAGCAGCATTTGAAATTAAAACCATCATTTTATAACTTTTGAACATTTCCTTTTATCTTTCTGTAGGAACCAGGATTCTTGACTGCATTTGAGTATAGTGAAAAGAGGAAAATGGTTTTCCATATCACCACTGGGAGCCAGGAATTTGAGTGTGTATCTAACATTTTTTATAACTACTAAGCACAATCTTTGGAATACCATGTTTCATTTCCTCTATCTGGTTGTTATTTCTACTGTAAGTAGTAGAAATAGCTTCTTCTTTTGAAGTAGGTTTGGTTTGTGGTATTCCCCCCCCCCCAAAATGCAAACTGAAGCAAATTCCAGACTGCCTGTAGGAACAAGATTAAATTTCTTACAAGAAATTCAGATCCCAAATCTAAGTAGTTTCTGAATCAGCCTATATTAATCTACAAACCAATTTTAAAAATCAGTTTAACCTTTCCTTTCCTTCTCCATTGATGGAAATTTCATTTCACCTTTTGGTTTTATTCAAAAATCAGTTGTTAGGCCGGGCGCGGTGGCTCACGCCTGTAATCCTAGCTCTCTGGGAGGCCGAGGCGGGCGGATGGCTCGAGGTCAGGAGTTCAAAACCAGCCTGAGCAAGAGCGAGACCCCGTCTCTACTATAAATAGAAAGAAATTAATTGGCCAACTAATATATATAGAAAAATTAGCTGGGCATGGTGGCACATGCCTGTAGTCCCAGCTACTCGGGAGGCTGAGGCAGCAGGATTGCTTGAGCCCAGGAGATTGAGGTTGTTGTGAGCTAGGCTGATGCCACGGCACTCACTCTAGCCTGGGCAACAAAGTGAGACTCTGTCTCAAAAAAAAAAAAAAAATCAGTTGTTAGATTGAATATTTTAGAAGAAATAATCCAGTGTTAACTTTGTCTTCAGCAAGAATGGTTTTAGTGTCCTTTTTTATTTACTGTCTATGACCCTTGAAACATATCATCATCTTCTCCATGCAAGTTGACTAGAATGTGTGGTTTTTCCCCTACTTTACTAGAAAGAATCAGTATTTTATAAGTTAGAACAGTGATCAAGAGCAATTAGAGGCCGGGTACAGTGGCTCACACCTGTAATCCTAGCACTCTGGAAGGCCGAGGCTGGAGGATCGTTTGAGCTCAGGAGTTAGAGACCAGCCTGAGCAAGAGTGAGACCCTGTCTCTACTAAAAATAGAAAGTATATCTATAGATATGAATACTTTCTATCTAATACATATTAGATTCATATCCATAGATGTGAATACATATCTATCTAATAAACATGAATACTTTCTCCTTTCTTAATATCCCTATTTCTGTTCCTATTGCTAATGCTGTCTTTCTATTCACAGTAAATTGCTAGGAGGTGGAATTGAAAGCATGGCAATCACAGAAGCTTTTGGAGGTAGGTAGAACCTTAACATTTTGTTATATGAAATGATATATAAATATATACACACATACATCTATGTGTATATATACATATAATTAAATAAACAACCAATAGTGAATTATTTTGGAACTTACGATGAAATCTTAATTATTGTAACAGGATCATTCTGGACTGCAATGACAATGTATCCCAACATTAACAGAAGGGTCTTATTGACACTTTTCATCCTTTTTTTCATGATTCTTATGGAAGAGAATATAATTTTTTCTCTTATTCTTTTAAAACTTAATTGAACAACAAGGCCAATTTTAGTTCTAGGTAACACATGTTCTATAAACATAGAGATTAGACTCTATTTTCCCTGATCACATCCTGTATTTTTTTTAAACAATTCATGCATAGCTATAGTATGTATTGCATCTGACAATTCCAATATTTGCAATCCTTGGGGAACTAGATCTGATTTTTTGTTGTTGTTGTTGCTGCTGTTGTTTTCTGTTGACTTGGAAAAATAAATCTGATTTTCATTATTTTAGTTGACGTAGTCTTAGTGGCTTACCTTCTTATATATTCATTGATATTTGTGAGCTTATTGCTCGGTTTTAATCTATGAGCAATGGACCTCAATTGGTAAATAGAAAAGTTTTCCTCCAGAGAGAATTTGCTTCTGCTGGTAGCTAGTAGATGCCACCAATATGAGACCACTCCAGTTCCCCCTTGAGGACCTCAGTTCAGTGGGGGAGCCCCAGGTTCTCTTTTCTGAGGTTGGGCCTTAAATTTTCATTTATATGACTATTCTTAAGGAAAACTTGTTCTAAATGACTTTTTATCTAAAAACCAGTTCTATGGAAAAAATACATTAATTTTTTTTTTTACTGTTGGTATTCATACATGCATAATCCATTTTTGACACATAAGGTACTTTATGAGTGAGATTTTTTTTTAGAATGCAAATTTCTATTTAAAAACATTTTATTCCCAGGCTGAGAAAGAACAGGACCCTGTCTCTACTATAAATAGAAAGAGATTAGCCAAACAACTAAAAATAGAAAAAATTAGCCAGGCGTGGTGGTTCGTGCCTGTAGTCCCAGCTACTCGGGAGGCTGAGGCAGGAGGATAGCTTGAGCCCAGGAGTTTGAGGTTGTTGTGAGCTAGGCTGACGCCACGGCACTCTAATCCAGGCAACAGATTGAGATTGTCTAAAAAAAAAAAAAAAAACCAACTTTTTATTCAAAATTTTGCAGTTCCCTTTTATTGATAACATAACTGAGATACTTATTTTATATATTTAAATTATCTTAAGATTTAATAATAATAGCTACAATGTGACCCAGAAATGAAAATATACAGAATAGTTTTGAAAACACATGTATTTGTACCTGCAGTTACACTTACACATAATAGAAATGCATATTTATTTTTATAATAAAGACCAACTCATCAAATTTTTACCAAGGTATGACAAGAAATCTTTTATGCAAAACGATAAAAATTGAAGCAAAAATAACACTCAGTTTTCTAATGTCTTAAAAGTCACATAAATTCTATAAATTACTGTTTCTGAAGATAGAACTTTAATCGTTACCTTTCCATTTCTGTCATGCTTATAATAAAACACAAAACTGCTCTAAACACAATAAATGGAATTCTTACATTCCATTATTTTCTTAATATAAATGATAACTCAAATAATATTTTACATTTCTACTTGCTTATATTGTATTAAAATTATTTTACAGAAAAACTAGTTGATGTATTAGGACATAATATCTCAGAAACATTCTTTGATATTCACATCCTCATTAATGGATGTTTCACAGTCCACTTAAATAAATTTTCTAATATAAACAAAATCATCTAACAAAAACAAATCTATAGTGTTACTTTGTTTTTGAGAGCAAAAATATTTATTATTTATTATTACTGCCTTTGGGAGATACATTGACTTTTAAAAACACTTGGAAATCACACATAGTACCTGGTAATAACATATGAGCAAAACCTGATCCATCCTTCCATCCGTCCTTCTTTCCTTCATTTATTTTATAGATGGGGGGTCTCACTATGTTGCCCAGGCTGGCCTCAAACTTCTGGGCTGAAGAGATCCTCCCACCTCAGCCTCCCGTGTAGCTGGGACTAAAGGCACTTTCCATTGCATCTAGCCTCTTGATTTATCTTTGAGTCTCTACATGGTTACTGTTTAAATACAACATTAATTTTATTTAAAAAATAAAGGAAAAAGTGTTCTTTTATGTAGTGGAGCAGAATTATAAGAGAGATAATAATACTTCAATGCTGGCTGTTTTATAGAACTCAAAAATTCAGTTCTCATTGTTCTGCTGCAATATAACCAAGCCTGCTTATTTTAATAATAATAAACAATGTTAGAGCCTTTTAAAAATCATGATTACAACTAAAAACTTGGAACAGCATGATAAGCTAATGGCAACCTTTGAACCCAGTTTTGAAGTTAGTTCCCTTTCCAAATAAAACTTTAAAATGCTTTCAAATAACTTAATTGTTTAACAAGCATCAGCTTAGGAATATTTTTTAGTGTTCTAAGGTATAATGTTTGGCATCAAAAAGTATGGTGAGCACTTTTGATTTGTGAGTAAAAAACAAAAAAATAAAGTACAAAAATACCAGTGGTTCCTGTCACAGGGTAAATATCCCACTTCAAGTAATGTTCTCCCCACAATTAAATTAACATTTTATTTCTCCCTCTCAGAGACAAACCAAGATGTATTTTTTAGTTGAGGTGAAAAAACTGCTTCATAATTTCATGTGTTATAAAAGCCACTGTTTGAGAGATGAAAAGAATGTGATTAAGAGATAAAGCATGATATAATCCTTTTCGAATTCCATGGTGTTCATAGACATACTTTATAGTATCCTGCATGGTAAGGCACTTTTCAAATTCTGGCAGAGAAGTTCCTAATTGCATTCACTGATGAGTTACATCAAATGGGTAGGATATTGTCTGTGGTATTGCTCCAGCAACACTACCACAAAGTAAGTTTATGTGAGTTTTCAAAACTAAGACATTAGAATTGTCTGATGAAGGTCTGCCAAGAAGGGTAGGAGTGTGAGAAAGCCTAATACTCTTTAAGGTACCAAAAGTAAAAAATGAAACACCTGCATATGGAGCCATTCTTAATATAGTAGGCATATGGCCTCTGTAAAATCCAAGGAATCCAACTTCTTTGCAAAAGTTGTTTTGAATGCATGAACAATTTCTGTATAGGTGTGTTCCCCTTTATTTCACATGGAATGCTAGGCATACTCTAACCAGGTCAAGAGGGTAAGTACAGATAACTGCTGTCATACCTGCCATGGATCCAGCCGTTAATCTGTGCACATGACCCGAAACTCCCAGCTTTGTAGTAATTAATGTTTTATAATGTTCAAATGCCATAAACTGGATTGCACCATAGGGAAAGATTCAAGTCATCATTGCACCATTTTCTTTATACAATCCAAGATCTCCTTCCTTTGGGGGAACAGCACGCAATACAGAAAATACTCCTAAATGCTTTTAATAGTGATTGTGGATTTGTAATAAAAACTTTACTCCATCTAGTGGGGCAACTGTTGTTTTGGCACAGCATCTGGCAGTACCTCTTCTGGAGCCTTCCTTTCTTCATCCATAAATTGGTACAACTACACCAAGGTCCAGAGCCAAATAACATTTTTGTGAGAGTTAACTTTTGCTCACTGCGCTGGTCTTTCAAGTGAGATTTGACAGTTGTAAAATAAAACAGTAATATTTTATTTATTTATTTATTTATTTTTGAGACAGAGTCTCACTTTGTTGCCCAGCCTAGAGTGAGTGCCGTGGCATCAGCCTAGTTCATAGCAACCTCAATCTCCTGGGCTCAAGCAATCCTGCTGCCTCAGGCTCCCGAGTAGCTGGGACTACAGGCATGAGCCACCATGCCCGGCTAATTTTTTCTATATATATTTGTTGTCCAATTAATTTCTTTCTATTTTTACTAGAGACAGGGTCTTGCTCTTGCTCAGGCTGGTTTTGAACTCGTTACCTCGAGCAATCCGCCCACCTCGGCCTCCCAGAGTGCTAGGATTACAGGTGTGAGCTACCGCGCCCAGCCAAAAAACAGTAATATTCTGAGGCCATATTTTATTCTTGGTAAAAATATCTAAAAACTAACTATGTGTGTTTTTTATTATCTTTTATCTATTTCGCAGAATTCCGTACTGGAAAAACCCAGCTCTCTCATACCCTCTGTGGTAAGGATACATAATAACAATAATAATAATAACAACAATAATAATCATAGCTATTACTTACTAAACATCTACTATGTGCCTGGTACTTTAAATAGTCTCATGTAATCTGAACATACTTGCAAGAAAACTAAAATTTAGGGAGATTAAGTAAACTGCCCATGGTTATATAGCTGGTCTTTGAATGTGTGATGCTTGAGGTCATACTGTATGTGCTGTACTGTGAACACCTGAATGCAAATAAGGAGAAGTTAAATAGGCATATGAGCATGTTGGTGAGGAGAGGGGTTCACTGTCTCAATTTTTCTCAATCCATCTTTTCTATATCTTTTCTACAAGAATGACACAAAATCTGTTGAGGCCTAGAATACTTTACTTTCCATGGGGTAAAGTTGATCCTAAGAGAGACTTAAAAACAATTCTTTGGCCAGGCAGGGTGGCTCATTCCTATAATCCTAGCATTTTGGGAGGCCAAGGTGGGGGGGTTGCTTGAGCTCAGTTCAAGACCAGCCTAAGGAGGCCGGGCACGGCAGCTCATGCCTGTAATCCTAGCACTCTGAGAAGCTGAGGTGGGTGGATCACTCAAGGTCAGGAGTTCAAAACCAGCCTGAGCAGGAGAGAGACCCCATCTCTACTAAAAATAGAAAGAAATTCATTGGCCAACTAAAAATACATAGGAAAAATTAGCCAGGCATGGTGGCACATGCCTGTAGTCCCAGCTACTCAGGAGGCTGAGGCAGAAAGATTGCTTGAGCCCAGGACCTCGAGGTTGCTGTGAGCTAGGCTGACACCATGGCACTCTAGCCAGGGCAACAGAGTGAGACTGCCTCAAAAAAAAAAAAAAAAACAAGACCAGCCTAAGGAAGAGCATGATCCCATCTCTACCAAAAAACAGAAGAAATTAGCTGGGTGTGGGTGGTGTGCACCTGTAGTCCCAGCTACTAAGGAAGCTGAGGCAGGAGGATGTCTTGAGCCCAGGAGTTTGAGGTTGCAGTGAGCTATGATGATGCCACTGCACTCTACCTGAGGCAACAGAGGGAGACTCTGTCTCAAAAAAAACTTTTTTTTTTTTTTTTTTTTTGAGACAGAGTCTCACTTTGTTGCCCAGGCTAGAGTGAGTGCCGTGGCATCAGCCTAGCTCACAACAACCTCAATCTCCTGAGCTCAAGCAATCCTGCTGCCTCAGCCTCCCGAGTAGCTGGGACTACAGGGATGTGCACCATGCGCCAGCTAATGTTTTCTATATATATTAGTTGGGCAATTAATTTCTTTCTATTTATAGTAGAGACGGGGTCTCGCTCTTGTTCAGGCTGGTTTCAAACTCTTGACCTCGAGCTATCTGCCTGCCTCGGCCTCCCAGAGTGCTAGGATTACAGGCGTGAGCCACTGCGCCTGGCCAAAAAAAAATTTTTTTTAAATAACTTTTTAAACAAAATAAGCAAAGATATCTCCTTTTTCATAAAGACACTACTGTTCATTTTTTTGACCAAAGTGGGAGCTTGGCAAAATGATTCAGAAGGGAGTTCTGGAATCAAAGTGCCTGATTCCAGTCTTGGCTCTACCATTAATAGCTATGTGACCTTGGGCAAATTGCTTCATTTCTCTAATTTTCCCATCAATAATAGATGCTGGGCATGGTGGCTTATGCCTGTAATCCTAGCACTTTGGGAGGCTGAGGTGGCTTCAGCCCAGGAGTTTGAGACCAGCCTGGACAACATAGCAAGACCCTTTCTCTATTAAAAAAAAAAAAAAAAGGAAAGGAAAAATTAGCCAGGCATGGTGGCTTGTGCCTTTAATCCCAGCTACTCAGGAGTCTGAAGCAAGAGGCTCGCTTGAGCCTGGGAGTTTGAGGTTGCTGTGAGCTATAATGATAATGTGGCACTCTAGCCCAGGCAACAGAGTTAGACCCTGTCTCAAAATAAAATAAAAATAAAGTAAATGAAATAGAAATAATGATATTATCAAGTCTTAGGATTGTTTTGAGAAATAAATGAAATAATGCATGTACTTGGTACAAAGTAGCTCCTTCGTACTAACTACTATTACATAAAAATAAATTCATTTGAAAATTTTGGCATCTATTAATTGAAAGATAACATAAATAAATTATATAGCATAAATTATATTGTGATTATTTCTTATAGAAAGAAAGGCATATTTAAATTCTACTTCCATTCCTTGGGAGAACTTTCATGAATATCTCCCCTCTTGAGAGACATTGAAATTCTTTGTTGAATTACTACTATGCTGGCAGAATACTTATAATTTCACTTCTGGTTAAGTAATGTTAAAATGTAACATGCTGTTTAGAAACTGAAGGGTCCTGACTTTTTAGTTTGCTAAATTTACTAAATAGTTGTAACCAGCATAAATCCCATGTTTATATTCATTTGTACAAAGTTTATTCACTCCTATTAATATTAATTTTTTAATTGTTTCCTAGTGACAGCTCAACTTCCAGGAACTGGTGGCTACCCAGGAGGAAAGATTATCTTCATTGATACAGAAAATACTTTGTAACCCTTTTATTTAAGCAAATTGCTAACATAATAGTATGATATAGTAATGTTAATACAAAAGATAGTTTATTTGATATAACTATTTTTGTTATCATCCCATAAACAATCAATAATGAGAAAACCCAAGGGGAAAACAATTACTGGTCAAGTTCTCAAATCACTGTTTATTTAATAAGGTTTTACTTTTCCAAGGGAGTTGGTGTAAAACTGACAAAACAAATACATGAGAGGAAATTATTAATATATATTATTCATTTTTAATCCTCTTCTCCAAAGATTTTGCTTAATAGAAAGAAGATTATCAACTCACTCAAAGTCATGGTTTCAAATAAAGGGAAAGATGTGAAGAGTGCAAAAACACAGAATGAAAAAGGACAGAATCTGCTTGGGTAACAAAGAATTGCCATTTAAGTGTAAGGGATTCCAGAATACAAGGCTAGAGAGGTGACTGGAGTCTTAGACATGAATGGCTTTGAAACCAGATGATGGGTGTAAATTGGGTACATTAGCAATATTCTAGGCAAGTAATGAGAACTTGATATGGGTTGGAAGCAGTAGGAATAAAAAGAAAAGGACAAGAAATATCAGAGAGGAAAACAAACTGACAGGATTTGATGATTGTATTGGGTAGACAAGGAAAGAAGTTTGAAAAACCACTCACAGGTTTTCTGTCTAGATACTGGGAGAATAATGATGCTAACGATAGAATTGGGAAGATCATGTTTCAGAGTAAAAGTGATGTTTCATTTTAAATGTGTTGAATATGAGCTACAGGAGGATATCTAGATGGAAATGTTGGAAATGTTAGATTCAGCTTGAGAAAGGAGAAGGGCCAGAGATGGATGAATTAACCAAAGGGGAAAGAGAATTTACAGATCACGAAGAGAGAACTGAGAACATAACTTTGGGTTGTGCCTATATTTAGGAAGAGGACCAAAATGAGGAACCCACAGAGACAGAGGAAGTAGAAGGAAATCTGGTTATAAAATCCAAACAAAAGGAAAATTTCAAAAATAAAAGAGTAGGCAGCAATGTTCTAAGCAGAGAGGGTGGTGGTGGGGTTCATGGGTGCAAACTAAGAAAGATTACTGACATTCAAAATTAGGAGTTTAAGGGAACATTTGTAATAGGGAGGTAATGGTAGCCTTTTGCAAGTATAGAGTAAGGGAGTGAGGCAGTATGCAATTGGCCAATGAATGAAAGAAGAGATATAATAGTTTGATGAGGTATTGGATTCAGAGGAAATTTATTATTTTTTTAGAGACAAGGTTTCACTACGTTGCCCAGACTGGTCTCAAACTCCCAGACTCAGTCACAAAGCACTGGGATTACAGGTGTGAGCCACTGTGCCCAGCTGGAAATTCTTTTTAAAAACAGGGAAGACCTGCACAAATTTGTAAAGCCATTAACAATGACACCCCAGCCTGCCTCTCCAAGCTCATTGCTCATTGTTGTCACCATTAGAGGCAAAGAGATGAGTCTGCTCTAGTCCAATCCCATTGCCTGTAAACATGCTTCATTATTTAATTTGAAAACACTGTACATCAGCAATTATTTAGATTTTACTATAAAGATTTTTGTTTTCTTTGTTCATTATGGTTTCTTACATCCCAGACTTTATTCTTTCCTGTATTTTTTGTTTTGCTAGTGTACCTACTTAAGTATTTCTTTCAGAAAAGTAATCCAGGTGATAAACTTTGAGCCCTGATATGTCTGAAAATGCCTTATTTTGCTGTCACTCTTGATTGTTAATTTCACTAGTCATAGAGAAATTTGCATGGTATATTTCTATCCTATTGGTTATTTGCTCGATCTGTCCGCATCTCATAGTCTTTCTGAATCATACAAATCCTTTAAGCCTCACATTTCAAGGCCTGCTTTTACTAATCTCCTCTAACTACCCAATTTAGAAAACCCTGTCCTTCTTGATCTATGATAGAAGAAGAAAAACAACCAGAGAACTGTTTGCAGAAGTCTTTATTAGGAAATGCCTGACATGAGAAGACAGTGAAGGAGCCTTCTAACTTGGAGAAGAAGGGTAGAATGCTGAATAGTTCTTTAGCAAGGGGGCTCAGCTGGAATTTAGCTAGTTTCAGAAATAGTTGCTTAAGGATGATTCTCAGAGCAGAAGGAATTCTTCTTGCAGACTAGCAGCCACTGTTTGGGCAATTTAGATTTTATCAAGAACCATACCATGGAATAGTAGGAGCTAAGTCAAATGCAAGAGGTAGTGGGGAAAAATAGCTGGGTGGGGAGGGGGCACTGCAGCAAGGGCCACATTGGAATGTTCTCATTTTTTCCATGTCTCTCACACTTATACTACTATCTCTTGATATTTTTCTTTTTACATGTTTATATTTTGTCTCATTAATTATGTTTTAAATTTTCCTGGGACATAGATCCCAGGATAAACATCTATCCTTAGATCCTCCGTAATACATTGCCTTGCGCGGTGGCTCACGCCTGTAATCCTAGCACTCTGGGAGGCCGAGGCGGGCGGATGGCTCGAGATCAGGAGTTCAAAACCAGCCTGCAAGAGCGAGATCCCGTCTCTACTATAAATAGAAAGAAATTAATTGGCCAACTAATATATATAGAAAAAATTAGCTGGGCATGGTGGCACATGCCTGTAGTCCCAGCTACTCGGGAGGCTGAGGCAGCAGGATTGCTTGACCCCAGGAGATTGAGGTTGCTGTGAGCTAGGCTGATGCCACGGCACTCACTCTAGCCTGGGCAACAAAGTGAGACTCTTGTCTCAAAAAAAAAAAAAAAAGAAAAATAATAATAATAATAATGCATTGCCTTGGTAATTAGATAATATGATAATCAATTCCATATGGTAATGAGTTAAAAAATATTTGTAGATTGATTTGGACTTCCCTTCAGCCCAATTTTTACACTCCTGGTTACATAGTATCTGCGATTTATAGAAACTGATATGGTGAAAAACATTTTTATTGTTTCTTCCAATTCCCTGTCTTCTTTGACTTGTCCACCAAAAACATCTATTGTGCATACCCAATAGCAATGGAAGATTTTAATGGCTGTCACTGAAGCTCTAAAGAAAAGAATATACATAATGCATTAGGATATAAATGGCTGGGAAATCCTAATGATAGTTTAATCCAACATTTATTGAGTTCATTGCAAGCATCACAAATAAGATTATCAATGGCCTTTGCTTTACAGTTGCTTATAGTATAATCAGTGTTATATAAACAAAGTGAAATGGGACTATAAACATGCATTTTATTTTACCTCATTTTACATCAGACATATCGTTAGGATTACCAAAGATCTAAAAAAATTTTATTACTCCTTTATAGTTTATAAGTAGCATCTTCCAGAATACCTTTGTAGGTATTCTGAATTTGCCTCCCTATGAATTTACTAATTTTAGAAAGCTAACAACTCCTTTAGATGGTAGATTCTAAACCCTATATAAACCTAAAACCCTTGAATCCTTGAAGTTACTTTTTTGACCCTTTGCTTCATGTAGTCAAATTTATCATTTGTTAGCAGTATCTGATTAATGGTATATTAAACTAGTTCACATTGAACAGATTAGTATGAAGAGTGAATTAATTCACTTTGAAGTGACTGAATTATAATTCAGTGATATTATCTTTCTATAATAGATATATTTTTATAGAACTGAGAACAAAGGAAGCTCACAAACTTTATTTTTTCTCTTGTAACTGATTTGCTACATAATCCCAACTCATTCGCCTAATCTCTGTTTGTCAGTGCCCTCAGTTGTAAAATGTAATATAGGCCATAACAACTAGCTTCCAAGGTTGTTGTCAAGGTTTGATAATTTAATCTTTAAATTCATTACTGCCTCACCATTTCTATTATCATTATCACTACCTAAACTGAAGCACTTCTGAAAAATAAAATCTGGTATAGACTTTAAGTGATTACTAGCATCCTCCAGAATACCTTTGCAGGTACATTGTCTTGCCTCTGTGTTAATATACTTACTTCAGATATTATGTTTTGTAGTTATTGTCTAAACTTTTTGTGAAATTGATTTATTGAATCCTTAATCTTAATACTCCAGCCGTCCAGATCGCCTTCGGGATATTGCTGATCGCTTCAACGTAGACCATGACGCAGTACTGGACAATGTACTTTATGCACGTGCATATACTAGTAAGAGCCCCATGCAGTGGGATGCTTGGGTTATGTAAGGTTTGCCATACTGATTTACTATTTGAGTGATACAACATTTTGACACTTCCTCTTCTCTTTTTATTTTATTTTTCTCTAAAGTAATTTAGTCAGTCTATAAATTTTATCATCTGTTAAGTCCTTAAATATTAAAATGAGTTCAAATATTTCTTATTCTTTGTCTTTGAAATTTAGAGTAACATTCTTTTTGGTAATGTAGTGTTTAACATGTATGCTAAGGTAGAGTATGCAATCATATCTAATAGAGTCGTAAATAATTAAGGGTATCCTTCAAGGACTCTCTTTTGTCTGGCTCCGTAGGACATGAATGATCTGAGCCTCTGCTTCTTCTAACTTCTATGACATTTTCTCACTGCGTTTCCCACCAGGTGAACATCAGATGGAGCTACTCGATTATGTAGCAGCAAAATTCCATGAAGAAGCTGGCATTTTCAAGCTATTGGTACAAGCTTTTAGATATTGCTCACTCACAGAGCTATTTAATTTTTTTCCTTTTTTAATATTTTTTTTCCTTCTTTTTTTTTTGAGACAGAGTCTTGCTCTGTTGCCTGGGCTAGATTGCCGTGGCATCAGCTTAGCTTACAGCAACCTCAAACTCCTGGGCTCAAGCAATCCTTCTGCCTCAGCCTCCCAAGTAGCTGGGACTACAGGCATGCGCCATCATGCCTGGCTAATTTTTTCTATATATTTTTAGTTGTCCAGATAATTTCTTTCTATTTTTATTAGAGACAGGATCTCACTCTTGCTCAGGCTGGTCTCGAACTCCTGACCTCAAGCAACCCACCTGCCTTGGCCTCCCAGAA